AGTACAAACAAGACAAATGCCAACTCTTTGGGTTTCTTCGTGTCTACTGATAACTTGCCTATTTCAGAAAGCTTTCCCAGAAAAGTAATATTGGCTTTGTCCTGTGTCATGGAACAATCACATTTTAGATTTATAATACATATAATAAAATTTTTGGTCAATTTTACTGTACCTTTATTATTATATATTATAAGTATATCACTTACAAATTTTATTATTGTATTAGCAATTTATAAGTACCAGTATTTAAATACCTACATGGGAAAGTGTGTTGTTGTTATATTTATTTATATCCCACCTCTTCCCCAGTTTGGGATTCAAGGTGGCTTAAAATAGTGGGACGTACTAAAACGAAGGACAATACTTGCCCATAGGGAATCATGGGAAATACTTGCCCATAAAGAATCATGGGAAATACTTGCCCATAGGAAATCATGGGGAATATTTGCCCATAAAGAATCATAGGGATTACTTGCCCATAGGGAATCATGGGGAATACTTGCCTATAGGAAATCATGGGGATTGCTTGCCCATAGGGAATCATTGAGAATACTTGCCCATTTCAAAAAACATAGTTAAAATGCACAGAATACTAAAGTTTAAAGGTGATTAAACTATCAAAAAAATTTAAAACAAGTTAAAAGCATACAGAATGAAGAGCACAACAGCACAACAAAAATAACAGATCAAAAATCCAGCACATTATACAAGACCTATCCTGCCTATATAATCAATCTTCAAAGGTCTGTTGAAATAGAAGTCTTCAGCTGTTTATAGAAAGAATGTAGGGAGAGTGCCAGTCTAACCTGTTTGGGACAGTGTCCCCACCAGATCTCAAACAAAGCACATGCAGATTAAAGGAGAACACAGTCCTTCAAATAACCTGGATCTGAACCATATAGTTTTATAGGTTAAAAAAAACAGTGCTTTGAATTGTGCCCAGAAACTGACTGGCAGCAAGTGTGTGGTGTGCTCCCTTTGTAGCCAGCCCCAATAAGCAGTGTTAATTGGATTTATGGGGGGTTGCAGACTGCCAGAAATAGTGCAAATTAAGTCCACTTTTAGGGTTAGGGAATCATGGGAACTGTATTTTATTGTGGCACCAGAGCTCTCTGAGAGAAGGCTCAATGTCTCAGAAAAAAAAACAACAATTCCCATGATTCCCTAGCACTAACCCTAACCCTTAAAGTGGACTCAATTTGCACTATTTCTGGCAGTCTGCAACCCCCCTATGACTCTGGAGATCAGGGTTTGGTTTTCAGCTTGGCCATGAAAACCCACTCTCAGCCTCAGGGGATAGCATTGGCAAACCTCTTCTATACCAATCTTGCCAAGGAAACCCCCATGATACATTCTCCTTCGGCTCAGCCACGAAAGCCCACTGGGTGACCTTGGACAAGTCACACTCTCTCAGCCTCAGGGGATGGCCATGGCAAACCATCGCCGAAGAAAACTTGACAAGAAAACCCCGTGATAGGGTGGCCATAGGCCGGAAACGACTTGAAGGCACCCAATAGCAACAATAAAGGGCCTTTAAACGAAGGGGTTTTATCTAGTACTCTTCTAGTGCTCCACAGCCACGCCAGTCCAAACTTGGGTTCCTCCCTAACGGTATCCCCATAGGCGACCATTAGCCCCCCTCCATTTCCTTCCACCAAGGATCTCCAAGCGACCCTTCGCGCTCCCTCCTCACAGGGGACCCCAAGGCCTCTCCCTGCCTCCGGTGCAACAACAACTGCTGCGGCCGGCGCTGTCCCTCCGTCCTACCTGCGATCCCGCTTCCCTCCTTCTCCTCTTCCCCTCACGGCCGGTTCCGCCGCCATCTCATATCTGCCGCTGGGCTCTCCCATTGGCCGTTCAACCGCAACGCCCATTGGCTGCTTCCAAGGAAGTCCCGCCCCCGCTCGCGCATTTCGCGAAGCTATTGGCTTATTCGAATATGGCAACCGTTTAACGACCACCCTCGCGGGCTCGAGCACAATACAAAAGAGGAGGGAGGGAATATCTGGCGCTAAGGATTCTGGGAAACGTAGTTTTTATGAATGGCCTTTAACATGTGCATTATACACACACACTGTGTTTGTGTGTGTGTATGTGTGTGTGTATGTATATGTGTGTGTATATATATATATATATATATATATATATATATATATATATATATATATATATATATATATATATATATATATATATATATATACACACACACACACACATATATACATATATGTATATATATATATACACACACACACACATATACATATACACACAGAGTATATATATATATATATATATATATATATATATATTGCCATGGGTCAAGGGCAGTTAACAACAAATAGATAGATATAGATATAAATACAGACACATACACGTACACGTTAAAAGATATAACTAAAACACTCATAAAAGCTACATTATATAGATATGGTAAAACCACTACACCTTATATAAAGTATATAGGGTGATTCAAAAAGAATGGTGCAAAACCAAGAAATAAGTTTTACTTTTGTACCATTCTTTTCTAATCACCTTATATGTGTGTGTGTATCTATCTAATGTAATTTTATAATGGTTTTCAATTATTTTAATTGTTTTGAACATTCAAAGATATAGCCGTGTTAAATTCATCTGATGAAGTAGACTGAAGCCTAGGAAAGCTCATGCTGCCAAGTTCATTCTTTCAGTTAGTCTCAAAGGGGCTACAAGATCTCTCTTCAAAATGTTTTGAACATTATTTATTTATTTATTTATTGTCTGTGAGCCGCCTTAATAATAATAATAATAATATTTATTTATATCCCGCCCCTCAGCAGAGCAATCGGGGCGGCTTACGACATTAAAATTTACATAAAGATGTGTTAATACAATGTAAACAGAAGCTAAAAATCCCGAAACCCACCTTTCTGGGTCCCTTCTGGGAGAAAGGCAGCATACAGGCCTTGTAAAACTACAAACCTCAGGATGCCATAGGATGGAGCAACAGCACTTAAAGTGATGTCAAAGTGTAGATGCATTCACCCCTCGCTGCTAGTTGCTGTGGGTTGCTGAAGGCACAGCTAAAAGAGACAATACAAAAGCTGCTAGTCCTATCTAGGAGGGAGACAGAGGCAGAAAATGCATGGAAAGAGTAGGGATAGTTTCCTACACCACAAAGAGGAGCAGTTTAACACGAATCAACAAATCTTTTACCCAAAACTAGCAATATACACAAGTGAAAGAACCATAAATAAAACAAAAACATTTTGAGCTAAAATTCTGAGATCATCTGAAAACACCCAGAGATGGGCCTAAACTCCCATTTCTTAGCCAAAAAAAGTTGGAATACCGGTAGTTATGGTGCACTTGAAAATACTGTTCTGCCACCCATTCCAAAAAAGTAATCTTTTACCTCAAGGACTCCAAAATTGACTGAGCTCTCTCAAATGTCCCAGAATCAGGTGGGGTGGCAGCATACCAGTGTACCCACAGACAATATAAAGCATTTGGCTTTCAAACTCCATTTTTTAATTTTATTTTCTAGTATATCTACTTCTGCTTGAGTCCAGTTATTCCCAGAAGTATATCAAATACGGGGTGGCCCAGAAATTTATGACCTAAAGTACATTTCTGTCAAGTTTTGATTTTAAAACTTTGTGTTGTTCTCAGCTCTGAGTTATGTTGACCTTATTATACAGTTTTCTTAGAAATGTAAAGTGCTATTGCTAACTTCTGTTTTTGCTAAGATTTATGCAGGGGTTTTCCTTTGCTTTTCTCTGAGGCTGAGAGTGTGACTTAGACAAGATCACCCAGTGCATTTCCATGGCTGAGCAGGATTTTGAAACTCAGTCTGCTAGAGTCCTAATCTAACAAATAAATCACACCATGCATGTTTCAAACTTCATATACTTTTTAAAATATCTCCAAAACCCTGTTTAGCTCATCCCTCCAACACAATCCTATTTCAAAGTTATGACAGGCTTCCATGCACTATCACCTGAAGTAGCATTAGCCTCTGGTGGCTGGAGGGTAGCAAGTACAGCCCTCCAAATTTTGTTGGATTGCAACTCCCATCAACTTTAATCAGGACGCCAATGGTGAAAAATGCTGGGAATTGCAGTGCAGTAACATCTAGATGAGCGTATCTTTTCCCCAATTGGTATAATTTATACAACTGTAAGTTCTAGTAACCACAGGTCTGATTAAAGTTGTAGACAAAACAGTCCAGGACTGATATTTTAAAACTTTTCTATCACCTTCCACAAAATGGATGAGCTCTCCAAGCCATAGTAGGTGAATACTATCTTTTTAAAAATAGCTTTCTTGCCCTAATAGGACAAGGCTGTTTGTAAAACAACTATTTCTATTTAAAAAACAAAATAAAATTGGGATTCAAAGACAGCAAAATGAACATCTGGGAAAAAATGAGGTTATATGTAACAAATCTTAATTAGGAATCATATAACAGAATCAGAGAATCACAGAGTTGGAAGAGGTCACAAGAGCCATGCAGGAATACACAATGAAAGCACTTCCAACCAACAGCCATCTAGCCTGTTTTAAAACCTCCAAAGAAAGAGACGCCACCACACTTTGAGGCAGCATACAAGGTATTC